AAGTGAAGTGTAGGGTATGGGTGGTGGAGTGAATTAAGTGTGGTGAGTGAATGTGTGACATAGGTGAGTGGATGAAGTGATGTGAATGTAGAGTTAAGTAAGTGGTCAAGTCATAAAGGGCTTCTCTAAGGCCTTTTGACCCACTGTGAGCTCATTTTTTGAGTTTCAACATGTTGGTCCCAATCAACTCAATCAAGTATAGAGGATTTGAGACCACCCAAGTGAGGCTTCACAAAAGAGCCTAGAAGTGGCTAGAATTTCAAAGTGGGGTGTGTCCCGTCACTAGTCTTTTAGGATAGTCAATAGAAAAGTCATATAGCTAGATTTTAAGTTCCCGGAGAAGAAATTAAACCTCACCAAAATGAGGTCAACACCACTACCACTGGGGAAGGAAGTGAAGGACAAACCTTCATCGCCCACGAGTTCCTTCCCCTTCCTTCGCCGAGATCCCTCAGAAACAGGGGAACTGCTCTCTAGCTCGATGCAAAAGGTGGTGCCGCCTCTATCCTCGGACCCAACTCCTGATGCGACTAGACCCGCACTTTGACCAGCCCCTTGCCCCTCTCTTTCTACAGGGTCAGGAGGGGGTCGACCGGTACTCTCCCTCTTCGCGAGGTTGATGAAGCCCGATACATCGGACTGGGGGTCCTCTTGAACCTCAATCAGCTCATCAGGAGTAGGCTTGGCGTCAGAAAATAAAGTAGATGGTTGCAGCCTTATCGTCCCTTGTACCACCTCTCAAAAAGATAGGCTTTTTTTTAATTAACATTAGCTCATCAGTTGAAATCCACTAGATTGTGTTGATTGTTTCAAAGGTAAAAAAAAAAGGTCTAAACCTGGAATCCCTTTTGGGAGCATTTTCTCACTCTTCAACGATTTCTTCATCCTCGCTCCTTAGTGGAAGCCTTAGCGGCCTTGTCAACTCATTATTTTTAACTCCTCGACATCTGAGGCGGCCCACAACTATCGAGTCATCCATCCATACTTACCTGGAATTAGAACCTTATTCATTATGTCCTCGTGAGTGTATTGGACGATAGACATGCCTTTTCCTTCGATGAATGATGCCAAGCCCTGCATCTGGGGGGATCTTCTCTTGCTTGTAGGGTTTCCTAGATGGCAGAGCGAGAGCCCTCCTATCTCTCGTTGATGCTAAGATAAAGTTGTGTTCTAGTTCTTTACTTTATTTTCCAGGTCAATTAGCCAAATCTTTCTATTTGAAGTAAAGTTCATATAGCCGTCTGGATTGACCTTGAAGGAAAACACATGGGAGGACAACTCCCTCAACCAAGGGATCTCCATTTGAAGACAATAAATGACATACTTCATCACCACCGCTATGCAATCTCCTTGAGCTGGGCTGGAATGATGTCATAATAATTCAGGATAGCTCAGAGCTTGTGGCAGAAAGGAAGATGAAGCCCCTGAATGAGTTGATCACGTTACAACACAAGCTGCTACTCATAATCTTCGGTCGTCCGGTCATTCGGGCCTAAGTCCTCCAACACTATACCATCCTTGAAGATGTGTCACTTTCAAAGTCTTAAAACCTCATCTAAAGACAACACCGAATACTCTGATGGGCGCACTTTTCCAAACTCTTGGGGCAAGTATTTGAAAGCCATAAAGAATAGCTTATGGAGAAGATGAGAGAAAGGAAGCGAACACAGATAAAGAAAAGAGAAATGAAGTCATGGGAGGGCCCTGATCCTATATATAGGGTTCAAAGGGAAACTGAACCACCACAAGCCATACCTTGGGAACGCTGATCCCACATCACATCATAAAAAGATAAAAGAGAAGAAAAGCTAATTTAAAATATTCATGCAAGCAAAGGTGACCGAATTGAGAAACAAAACTTGCATTTATTCCGATAGGAAAAACTTTGCAACTGGCTCATTAGCCACCTAAGGCGCAACTAGTCCTCGTCTATACAGCTCACTGTACAAGACTTGACCTCCTAAGTTAAACCTATCAAAGCTATCCAGCTCGACCTAAACCCTGAAAATTAAGCAAGACTCTCTTAAGTCCACCAAATCTATACACAAATGCTTGGTCTCCATTTAGAAAAGCTCAGTTTCAGTCTAGTAGTCCGACGCATCAACCTTAAGGTCAAGGAGTTCCGCCGACAGCTTCTCAAAAAGAGCATTCAGCTACACTTTTAGCTCGTTTAGACTATTCCCGCCCAAAAACCGTCAAAAATCGCTCATTGGACACATTCATCTACACTTTTAGCTCGTTTATGTTGGATTCCCTGTTGAGCCTCGTCATCTTTCCAACCTTCAGCTTCCTTCGAAGCTTCGGCTTCGCGGGCGAAGAAGTCTGTCATTTCATTCATGCGATGAACAACTGAATCTGTCTACTTCCTTTCAATGACCACTGGTTGGTTCCCTGTGGGTTTTCACAGAGTCAAGCCTGAACCTTGATAGGCTCTAGTGAGTTAGAGACAGGGACCGTGTCGGTTGCACAAGAAAAGAAAAGCTAGGATAGGCTGAGAAATACCGTCTTTAAGGATGAACCAACAATCAAACTCCTCCCAAGGAGTCGATCCACTTCAAACCAAAGAAAGTATGAGGAACTCTCACCAGGCATGGGTGGAGCACCCGCAGCTTCTTTTTTCCCCAATCTAAGGATCATCTGTGTCATTGACCTTGGTGACATGATCTCGGGAGCCCACCTGTATCCACCTTCACTTGCTCGTTGGAGACGACTGATTCCCCAACAGAAGTAGTGACCTGGCCTTTTGCGAACTTTTGAAATACCAAAAAAAACATCATCAGATGAACCGTCTTCATTTTCTTTCCCTCTCAATAGATTTGTCACTGTCAAGGCTTCTTCCTCCTCGCCAATCAAATTGCCATCAACAAGTCAACTCTTAGTAGAGGTGCGAAGGACAAATTTTCTCAAAAGGTAGCCCCAAAACCTTCATCAAGAGATCGTCTGATGGTTCCTCAAGGTTGCTCTTCTTACCACTCTCCATCAAAGCACTTGCTGTAAGAAATGATCAAAGCTGTGACCTAAGAGAAAATACGGGAACCCCGATCACTGATGGCGCCCTATTTATAGGGTGGCAGAGCACAGAAATCCAAATAATATAATTATTAAATGTTGATTTCAAGAATTAAAGATATATTTAATGCAATAATTAACTTTCTTATTTTTTTAATAGTTATTACTTTCAAAAAATAATAAAGTTGGAGAACTAAATATTTGTGGCCAAATTGTAGCAGCACGGATCTCGATGAAAAGCTGAGAAACATGACAAACCAAGTGGGTCCTCGAGCAAGATGTGACAAAATCAGTTCACAAACACCCTACACACGGGGGGGATTCGAACCCGTGACCTGAGAGGACTTACGACTTTCAGTTCAAGAATTAAGGATATATTTAATGCAATAATTAACTTTCTTATTTTTTTAATAGTTATTACTTTCAAAAAATAATAAAGTTGGAGAACTAAATATTTATGGCCAAATTGTAGCAGCACAGATCTTGATGAAAAGCTGAGAAACACGACAAACCAAGTGGGTCCTCTAGCAAGATGTGGCAAAATCAGTTCACAAACACCCTACACACGGAGGGGATCGTTCGACCCCGTGACCTGAGAGGACTTACGACTTTCAGAGAGACTGCTCTACCAATAGGTCATGCTACAGGCACGCGCGCACACATACACACACACACACACATACACACACACACACACAGATATATATATATATATATATATATGCCACCAGTCGTGACCTGTTGGTAGAGCAGTCTCTTTAAAGGTCGTGAGTCCCCTCAAGTCATGGGTTCAAATCCTCCTCTGTCCAATTTGCCGGCAGTGAGGGCGGTCACCGATTAGTTAGACATATAAAGGTAGTTGGGGGCTCCTATATAGCCGCCGACCATTCATTTTTCAATATATATATATATATATATTATAAATCTACAATTTTTTAGAAACGTAGATTCATCTTCTGCAGCATAAGCAACTTCTACTACTATCCTAATCTTCTAAGATGGTTGTTATGGACATTCAACAGCACAAACTCCATGACTGTACTTGCTTCACAGCAGCAATCCATCATAGCTTTCTTTTTCAACATTGCCTTTAACAAATTTTAAAAAAGAAACACCACTCAAAACTCTTCCTTTTACATTTTTAGCACTCCAAATACATTATTTAGATTTCTCACCATTAATTGAATTCCTCACAACTACCCTCAAGATTTCTCAGCATGTATTCTCATTTCTCCCTCCATCTAAGGGTAAATGTATAGGGTCCAGGGTGCCAATCGTCCCTTCTCAAATTCAAATTTTAATTTATATGAGGGTATAATTTAATTTTATACCCCTGAAATGGAAAAAATATTGGTCATGGGTTCAAATCCTCCTCTGTCCAATTTGCCGGCAGTGAGGGCGGTCACCGATTAGTTAGACATATAAAGGTAGTTGGGGGCTCCTATATAGCCGCCGACCATTCATTTTTCAATATATATATATATATATATTATAAATCTACAATTTTTTAGAAACGTAGATTCATCTTCTGCAGCATAAGCAACTTCTACTACTATCCTAATCTTCTAAGATGGTTGTTATGGACATTCAACAGCACAAACTCCATGACTGTACTTGCTTCACAGCAGCAATCCATCATAGCTTTCTTTTTCAACATTGCCTTTAACAAATTTTAAAAAAGAAACACCACCCAAAACTCTTCCTTTTACATTTTTAGCACTCCAAATTCATTATTTAGATTTCTCACCATTAATTGAATTCCTCACAACTACCCTCAAGATTTCTCAGCATGTATTCTCATTTCTCCCTCCATCTAAGGGTAAATGTATAGGGTCCAGGGTGCCAATCGTCCCTTCTCAAATTCAAATTTTAATTTATATGAGAGTACAATTTAATTTTTTACCCCCTGAAATGTCTATTTCCCTCCTCCTAAACACTCTAGGTGCGTAGTACTGATGTAATATTTTTTCCCTGAAATGTCTATTTCCCTCCTCCTAAATCTAAAATACCATTTTGCCCTCGGGAGGAGTTTATCCGCCCCTGAGCATAGTTTCGCCTCTGCCTCCACGCCCATCGAAGGTAGCTTTCTTCTTCGGCTTCCTTTCTCTTATCCAAATCTAACCATCATCTTTACATAATATACCATTGATAACCCCCCCATAGATATACCCCTAACTATCATCTCTACAAACCGTCCATTCTGCGGCCCATATGCTTTACCAGGATGACTTCGCTTCAACTTTTCCATTTCTCTAATCTTAGTCGCAAAAGGAGCTGCCTTTGGCTTGCGGTACATCGGCCCACCACTACCCTCTCACTGAAGAGGCGAAAGCTTGGATTTTTATCCAGAAACGGAGGTTTCTCAAGTTCGCCGCCGGAGATAAACGTGTTCCTTGAAAAGGGATTTGATAAAGATGGGATCCTGAAGAGGATAGGGCGGAGGGAGAGCCTGCTTGTGGTTAGGACTAAAAGGGGCTTTAATTCAGATGATGATGGATGGGATAAGAGTAACAGCTCAAGGGTATTGGGAAATCTTGCCTTGGCGGCTGGACTTACATATCTCACAGTGACTGGGCAGCTTGGTTGGCTTGTGGATGCTCTTGTATCTATCTGGGTAAACTTTTTTATTCTTTATATTCTGAAGATTATCAGAGATTTTTAGCTGTGTTTATTTTTCTTGTGTTTGTTAAATAGGATTGCTTGGCACTTGTGTAGGTTTTTTCTTGATGATGTGAGCTTTTCTTACCATTCGGTGACCTAATTTCACTAAAAATAAAATAAAATAAAATAGATCACCACTAAAAAGTTTGGTTTGTCAACTAAGAATATGCTGCCTATTAAAGTTTCATTGTGTTACATGAAAATTTTACCACTTATCAGCTAGTTAGGATCTCCAATTGGTAGAATGATGAACACTGTAGGTTTAAATTGAGTTCGATATATTAGTGTACACTTATCAAACCAAATGCTTAAGCCAGTTATAAGGGCCAATGTTAAAATATTAATAGCTCAACTTAATTTCACTTATAATGTTCTACTAATCTTAGTTTTATTGAGTATGCACAATCTACTCATCATATGAGTTATCCATATCGACCATTATTCTTCAATGCAAACTTCAATACTACATTGTTTTATGCACCAAGAGTACATGTGGCCTATGTGAATCACCTGCTCTCGAACTTTCCTCGGTTTTAATTGAAGCAACAATGGGGTTAAACATGTTCTAGGCCCATTATAGTCGCTGGCCATTTCGAACACTTGAACATGTTGAATATATTTTGATGAAGAGCCTATCATAAGACTACTCTTTCATTTGTATGAAAGGCGTATAAAAGGCATCTAAGTATAATTGGTCATCCAACCAATGGCTTTAGCATCAGTCTTGGAGACCATAGAAGTGGTTGTTGCAAACTATTTTTCTATTTTCTCACTTGGGAAACTTTTGTAAACATAATAGATTATGCCAATGAAAGATTTTTTTTCTTTTTATCGAAAAGAAAAAAAGAAATCGCTTGCCAAGTTCATTGAATTTGATCTAAAAACTGGATTCTAAGCTTAAAAGTTCAACGTTTTTTACCAAGTTTATCAAATATGGTCAACATGCTTATAAAATGCTTTTCTTTTTTTGTGCTTGTTGAAGCATTGACCTAGTTCAATGATACTTGATTTTACAACTCGGTAAACCCCCATATTACATTGTGTAATTGCTGATCAAGTTAATTGAACTTGACTATAAGCTTTGGAGAAGTCTGTCTACTTTGCTTGACCTTTGATCGAGTTCATTAGACTTGCCTAAAAGTTCTTGCCCCTTCACCTTACTCTACTGCCAAGTTCAGTGAACTTGATCGAGGTAATTAGATTTATTGTTTTGATTAATTAACGTAGTTCAGTGAATTAAATGAAATGCTAAGGCAATTTAGTTTTCTCAATTGTGCATCTTTAATGAGTTTGACAGGAGTCTCATGTCGAATCAAGAGCATTTGCTGAACTTGATCGGGGTGCTTATATGGTCATTCCCTCACATCTCGGTTTACCAATCAAGTTTAGGATATTTGATCAGTAAAAAAAAAAGTATGGAATGGACACAAATTTTATGTTGTATTTTTTGCAATTTTATGATCCTTAACTTCTCATTATCCGACTATTGACTGAAGGCAACTAAAATGGCATTCCATTGGTTAAAAATATCACCGGTCTCTGTATATGACCTAGGAGTTGAGGCCATTTCTTCTTATTTGTTGTTTTTTCAAAGACAAACTTTTTGTGCTATCCACCAATTCTCTTTTTTAAAATGTGGGTGAATGTTAATTATGTCAGGTTTTCTTATAGTATTTTTATTTTATTAAATGAAGGATCAAACTCACCATATTAACACAATATTGATCCACATGAATAAGAATAGATTTTGGGATCCATGCCTTCTTTCTCGGACGTGTTTATGCAACTATTTATATGAAGGTGATCTTGTAGGGTTTTTCAAGTTGTAGTTTAAGGCTTCAACAATATTGCCTTTTAAATTAGAGTTTTGTATTAAATTGAAGAAACAAAATATAACCTCATGCAAGGGTTTCTTGTAGTGAAGATCTCTTATTTTTCATTTCTCTTTGGTGATATCAACCATAGGATTACGATATTGGTAAGCGAAATCAGTGAGGCTTCTGGTCATCTTTATCTTCTCGGCAGGATTTTGTTGAGAGGTGATCATCTTGTATGTGAGACTTTATATTAGGTTTCTTCTCTGTTTGTGTGTGGGTGCATTTTGGTTTTGAAAAATAGAGGTGTGAATTTTTTTCCATTTTGTACAATACAATTGTGGCTTTTGTTTTTTTTTTTTGGGTTAAATCATCTCTCTCTTCTATTAAAATTAGACTTATTTGAAGTTGGTCCAACAAATTATGTTGTCTTTATATAATTTGTCTTTTCTTCCTCTTTTGTTTTACTTTATGACACATTTTTCTTGATCTTATTGATGCTTTTGCTTTTATAGTTTTGGCATCATTATTAGAAAAAGTTGGCATCCGAGCACAACTTCGAAATTTATAGCCATGAAGTTAGACATCGAAATATTTAGTGATTTTAGATTTGGAGAAATGTGATTCTTTAGACGATCTTAGTAGTATTTATGGATATAATTAAGGTTTGGCTTTGGTTCTTGTTGGGGCATCACATATCGAGAAAGTTGAAAAAGATTGACTTTATGGCTATAATAAAACATTTGGAGTAAATAAAGACACTTTATGATGAGAGTGATTAATGGATTAAATTTTTGCTAGATTGTATATCATGGTGTTAGATTTTATGATTGTGATATTTAAGGCAAGGTGACAACCACTTTGAATGTTTTAGATATTGTCTGGTGGTAGACTCTTTGGGGCTTTCATTGCTTAGAATGCTCCATTTAGAGAGGAAACTAATGAGAGATCTAGTTTTGCTACAATATTGATTTTTGGAGAGAATTGTTAGAATGTGATCCAATATTAATTGTATGAAATTTCTTGGGACATTCGAATCTGATTAAATGAAAGATTATTTAGACCAAATCAACAACAACACATCAATATGTGATGAAATAGATTTTGGAATTGTGCTCATGTGACTTTATATATGAAGGTCTCTCTTATAGGGTTTCTTAAGCCATGGTTGTAGGCTTCCACGACATACTCTCTTGAATTAGGTTTTCATGTAAGATTGAAGAAACAAGACATACCCTCTTGACAAACATAATATTTATTGTCTAATTTTCTCATTATTGGTTAGCATTGGTTTCGATGGAACTCTTGAGGAGCTGATTCACTTAATGTAGGCTTATTGAAGAATTGGACCACTATAAATTTATGTAACTTTGTAATTATTTTTACTTATGTGGTGTCTTCCGTGGTGTAATAGTTTCATTGTCATTTCTTGGATACATTATCCACTAAAACTTATTTCACAATTTTTAAATTATATTTATTTCCCTTAAAAGAGTACGTGCCATTAGATCTAAATTGAACAAAGTCTTATGCCACTGATTATAAGGGTGGAGCACTGGATGCTCATATCAAGCCTAATATATGAAGGATGGACATTTATTAAACTAATGACTTTAGATTAGTATGACTAAGATTGAGCGTATTATGTGCAAGTTCAGTTGGTGTGAAATTGCTAAGTATTACTCAATATTGCTTGCAAGTTGAGTAATACCTAAGTATGATAGGTCAAGTATATTGGATATTGGATATTGCATATAAAAGATAATGATATAGATTAAGATGTAACTTCTAGAGTTGAAGATTTTATGGTTAAAATGAGAAAAATGTCTCAAGAGTACCATGCATAAAGTATATACGAATTCATGGTTGGTAATATGAACATGCAAGTTCATGGTGGGCGATAAAAATGTCACTAATAGCCAAGTTAATTTTTCAAAAATGAGATGCTAAGACAGATTTCTGGTAAATTTAGGGAGGGATTGGTTGTTGGAGTCTATCGAAGATAAGATGCTGAAATTAAGAATTATGTGGTTTGGGTATGTTGATCAATAGGTAAAAAGTATACCATTTAACATGTGGATGAAGTTATTGTAGAAAAATTAGGGAGGAAAAGTAGACCAAAAATAACATTGATGTAAGTTGTTCATTAATACCTTGAGCAACTCTCAACAAGAATAAATGGAGGATGATGATTCTTAAAGGCCTGATTTTCTTATGGTTATTTATTTTCCCTTAGCCATTTGATCGAATTGAGCCATTGAAGTAGTCATCAAGCAGAGATCATGGTATAACAATGTATTTCCTTAAAAGGATTATATGAGTTTCAAAAGTTATTCCATTTAAAAAAATTCATATTTTCAAATTATTAAACTCAGGATTTTCTTCATTGTTTCATTACAATTCATTTGTTTGATGATACACAATCCTAGTTGGCACAAGTCATATTTCAGTAAACCATACTTCTCTGCAATCAGGATAGGTAACAATTTTTTTCATCTGTTATGTGCCTATCAGTTTTCATTTTATAAATTAATGACTTATCATGTTCCTTTATTTATTTTTTGAAATTTCAATCTATGATGTCTTATCTGCAGCTCTTAGCATTTCTTCTTCCTATTGTGGGCTTAGGGGCTTTCTTCTGGTTTGCAGGAAGAGAGATAATCCAAAGCAATGTAAGTATTGTCTTACTGTTATAGCATTTTTAGGTATGACAATTCTTATTTATTTACATACCTCATGAACAAAGAATTATTTTTACACGTAGCACTCAAATTTTTAATCATATAAAAAATAGCACTATTATCACTTTTTAAAATTGAAATATTGTTTTTCATGCCTAGCTCTAAACCAGTAACATTAACATTTTATGTATGAAGTTTCGGATTGAGATATGTAAACACATAAGAATTACGTGCTACGTATGTAAAATTCCCACAATAATATGTTTCAAATTAAAATTACCAATTGTCTAACTCGTAGTTATAGCCAACGGGTTATTTTATCGTTCAATCAAGTCTATTGCATTATGTGAATCAACTAATCTTCTCCTTGAACTCGCATCTACAGTGCCCCAATTGTGGAAATAACTTTCAGATGTTGAAGTAAGATGAATCAAATTACTGTACCTTATGCTACCTACATATTTTCTGTGATCTGTTTTCTTGCAGCCTCTGGGCAATAACTTCTACCATCTTTTTTTATAGATCTTCAATGAAGGATGGTGTGCAGTTCTGCCCATATTGTACCCAACCTTTTTCAGGTGCGAATAGTTTGAATTGGCAGGCAACTAGGGTAAATGTTCTTAGCATTATTGTTAGAATGCGATGCCTGATTAGATGAAGTTTATATGCAAGATAATCCATAAAAAACTGTACGTATAAGGTGATTTAGGCCAGCATGAAGATGTGAAGCTCACATTTTGGTGTAGCTTACTTTAAGTTGGTGCATTTACAGTGCAAGGTAACAAATTTGAGAGAGAATCCGCTAGGTTTTCTTCCAAGAGATCCGCAGGACCTGAAGAATCATTCAATGGATCCTTTGCTCGCTCCAAACAAGGCATGTGTTGCAAAGTTTCATCACATCCTATTTTTTTTTTCATGTCTTCTGAATGAAATAAATTGACAGGGACCTCCACTGCAACAATCGTGGATATTGAAGCTGAAGTTGAGGACATTGAATAATTGTCTCACATGGTCCATGCTGAAGGTATACAAGTTTGCTTCTGCAGAAACTATGCATTCCGCAACAGGAAACCTCCCAGGGGTTATAGAGATGTTGCATTAAATGTATTTTTTTACAACAATGTTTCGAATGCATTCTGTAAATAGCTTGATATTATGGTTCAAATGTTATTGTATGGGTGCTGTACAATTGAAATTTTGCAAAAGAATTCAACAATTATCTTTGGGTCAAATAGGCTCTGTCTCTAAGCAGGGAGTCACTATAGTTTCAACTTTGTATTTTGTAACCCATCATTTCTCTCCATTCTTGAGGTCCGTTTGTCTGTTTTTAATTTTTTTTTAACCCATCATTTCTCTCCATTCTTGAGGTCCGTTTTAGTCTGTTTTTAATTTTTTTTTTTCCTTCCTTGCAGTTGTACATTTTTGTTTAGCTGTAATTTTTTTTTACTTTTTTTTGAAATATTTGATGACAAGTAGTTTTTGCTATCATATCTGTTAATTTAGTCCTTTTTTTAAAAGAAAAAAAAAGTATTTTTAATTGGCATAATAGTTTTAAAAAATTATTATTTTTTTCATAACATTTTTATATCTTGTTTGCTTAAGCATTTTTCCAAATTTACTTAAAAAAGCTGTTGCTAGTGGATAAAAATTCACGATGTCTCCATTTTAATTCCTCGCTCCTCAAATTTTAAATTATCTCTGTTGTTATTATTATTAGTATTATTATTTGAAATGAGGTCCATGCTTAACTTATTGAATAGGAGAAAAATACGTTAACCAAAAAGTCTTGAAAAAACTAATAAATACAATGAAATAAAAATAGAAAGAAGGATATGAAAATCTCTGAAGAAAAAAAAAAAAGAGAGAATGAACTATAGTAAATTATCATCAAAATTGTAGATGTCGCGGTAGTAGAGTAATGAATTATTATCTTAAGTTACACGGAAATTTAGCATATATTCATGTAATTAAAGAAAAATAAGCAGGAGATCACGCTTCAATTTTTATGTAAAAAAATCCTAAAAATGGTAAAAAACCATGAGATCAAACTTAGATAAAATAATTAACTATGAATGGTGAGTCCATAGGTCTGCTCTTCTCATAAATTAGGGAATATAGTTTCAAAGTTGATTATTATAAATGTACAATGATTGTTCATTGATAATAGTCATAGTCTGACTAAAATGAACGTAAATTTTGGTGATAGCAGACTGCAAGAGTCATAGTTGATTTTTATAAAGGCAGTAGTCTACCATAAATAATGTAGATGGTGGTTGTAACACCAGCTTGTCATATATATAGTAATTGAAAGTCATAATAGTAGCTGACAGATTGCTTTAGGAGTGTCGATTGGCCACAATGGTCGTAGTAGAAATCAGCGAAAGGTGCGAGCCACATGGATAATAGTTGATCATGTATGTCGCAGTGGTGAGCTGCGATAATGTCGGTGAGCTGCATAGGCTAGAGTTAGGAGCTATATGAGTTGTGAGCCCATGTATGTCATAATTGGTCATGTAAGCCATAGTAGTGAGTTGTGATGATGTCCGTAGGCCGTAGAGGTTGGAGTCGGGAGCTACAATAGTTGTGGACCACGTAAGTCGTAGTTGGTAACATCGATCTTAATTGTGAGCTGCGATGACATTTGTAGGCTGCAAAGATAGGAGTTAGGAATTGCACGAGCTATGGACAACATATGTTATAGTTGGTTACATAGGTCGTAGTGGTGGACAACAAGGAGAGAGCTTGAGGACACTGGAGAAAGTCACTGGTGCCTTCGAAATGCTTCATTGTGCCATATGTGGGGTGCGTTGTTACGCCGTCTTCTGTGCGTCATTGCATGGTGTAGTGGACGATGTATTGCTCTGTTTGGGCTCTTCATTGTTCCACAACAAATGTTGGGATTCCGCAGTGCACATTGTGACTCCATTAGGGACTTCATTGCCAGGAGCAACTGGTGGTCAATGGTGGTCGATGGGAGAGGTTAACTGATTGTGGCATACGGTGGCCTACAGTTGGTGGTCGACGACGGTCAGCAACTGCATAAGTAGGAGAAATTCATCGGATCTTCGGTGTGGAAATAATGCTACGCTTCAACTTCTTCTCTAAGCTCTGGTCTTCTTCTGGTTCCATGTCTAGGTCAATTTTGAAGAAGGTAGTGAGGCTCTATTTATAGAGTTCATGTTTTAAGTAATGAAGGAATCCATACCACTTCGATCAAACAGTATGGGGATATTCCCTCGATCGTATGGTGTTTTGTGGACATTTAAGTGTCTTGATGATATAAGAATTGAGTGACTTTGAGCTTGTTAGATTTGTTTTATCAAGAAGCTCAAGGTCAGCTTGGGACAGGTCTGAGCACACACATATATATATATAATAGTATATATATATATATTCCATTTACATTTTATAAATTTCTGTTGGATAGACAACTTGGTAGATTTTATGTAATGTTTAATAATTCTATTTGTTTTTAGTTTGTATATATGTCTATGTAATTTGTTTTGTGTTGATGATAAGTAAATGTTGGATGGAAATTTATATTATATTTTTGCAATTTGTTGCATGTAGCTGTACAAAGTGTGATTATTCTTTTATATCATTTTAATTTATAATAAGTTTGCATTTGATTTGCGTCTGACACATTAACATTGGTCAATTATGATGATAAATCTGCAATCGACAAAAATCAAATGCCTTTTTTGTAGCTAGATTTTACGATCACAAGAATCTCATCGTAACATTCTAAAGAAGGATATTTCGGACGCAACATCCACCGCAAACATTTACATCAACAATTCTCGACAATAATTATCTTTGTCAAATGCATTTTTGTGTCAAATATTTTATCGACGTAAATCTGTTAGTAATAGGGATTTGCATAAGATTTTTGCCCAATTAATGGTGGAAATGTCTGATGTTAATCTGCAAAATGTCTGTAGTGTCGTGTTATTACGATCTGATTTTTCAGCTCTTAATAGCTCTATCCTGTATTGCATGAATTGTTGGCATTCTCTTCTCCTGTTAAATTTTTGTTTATTTTTATTTATACAAAAAACTATCTTATAAAGAGAAGATATTTGTGAAATTAGATCTCCTCTATTACTGCTAATGTCTCTGATTCATTCTATTTTTTGGTGATTTAAATTGCATTGTGAATTTAAATGATAAATTGGGTGATTTTTCCCCTATCATCTAAACTTATTGATCTAATATATTGTGTGGATTGCTCTAGAATTTTCTAAATTCCTAATATTAGTATTTTCTTCAGTTGATTTATTCAGAAACCCCTTAATGTCATTTATGTTTACTTGGTAGAGCTCTCTATAGCAATGATTGGTTGGATAAATTTCCATTATGGAGCCCCTTTCCTTGGACCGCTCACCAATTCTTATGTTGCTTGGAAACAATATTACTTCTTTTTTTAGATTTATGTAAATGTTACCTGGATAGGAATCCAAATTTTCTCAACATTATCTCTGATGCCTGAACTTTGCTTGTGATGGATGACCGTCACTTTACTTTTTCCAATAAATTGAAGTCAGTTAAGGTGGGTCTTAAAAAGAGATAAATGGAAATCATATAAATTTCTTTTCAATACCATTTATAATCTTGAGATCCAAATAAAAAACAACTTCATAACCTCTAGTAAGATTCTCTCAATAAGGACCTTCTTTCTAAAGTTTTTAATGTTCAACAGAAGCTTATTGAGGCATCACCACACACGCTTAATCATCTAAGGGTGAATCTGCTATGAAATTTCTCTATTATAGAGTTAAAATTAGAGATAATAAAAGTTCTTTCAAAGTGCTTGCCTCGATATATGGTACTCTTACCACTCAATATAGCATTGTTAATGAAGTTGTGGAGTGCTTCTCTCTTCAACTAGCCCGGAGAACCTATCTTTACTTTATGAATTATCTCATTGGATGTGTCCTGAACTCCTCATAGTGTCTTTTCTGATGAGAATTTAAGTCATTCTTCTTTAATATTGGATTTGATAAAGCTTCCAGGCCAGATGATTTTACTTCTAAAATTCTTAAAGACTTTTGTGATAACACTAGTTTTCCTTGCTTTGATGCTACAAGTTCATTTTTAATACTGCTAAACTACCTACTAGAATAAAATACTCTGCAATCACTCTTATTCCAAAATCTTACCAAGTTGAATGCCTTGCAGATTGTTGGTATAACTCCTTATGTAGCCCTATCAACAAAGTTATTACTAAACTCATTCCTGGCAGGTTAAAAACTCTTCTACCTTGTATAATTCATTATATCATAAATTCAATTCAAGTGTATTAATCACAACAATCAAAATTTTTTTCTTCTCATATATGATGATGATTTCTTACCTTTAAAAAGGTCTCTACTAGCAATATCAACTCTCTCTCTCACGTCCATTCAAATATAATGCCAATATAATTATTAATCACTCAAAATTTTCTATTTGTTTTCCAAAGAAGTTGAGAATCCGACTAAATTATAGATTTGTTATTCTCTTGGTTTTCATTTCAAACCTCTATTGGCATCATTATTAACTCCACAAAGCTCAAGACTACTAAATGGTATAAGATTATGAATAAACTGCTTTCTTGACTAGTGGCTAGAATAAAGAAGACTATCCATTTTTAGTATATACCAGATTATCAAAATCTCTATATAAAGCTATCTTCACTCTTTATTTAAATCTATTATCATCTCTAAGTGATTAAGGAATAAACTCTCTTACTTGATTATTAATTTTTTTTTATTGGAAAGCTGATAGAAGTAAATTGCATACTATAAGTTGGAGAACAATCACCAAACCCAAAAATTTTCAAGGGCCTAGTCTCACAATCTTGACTTAGTTAATCTTATGTGTAAGGCCAAATGTATTTGGAGACTTTATAATGTCAAATTCCTTCTTACCTCTTAGTTACTTAATTTTATGAATCCCTTTGGTTTGAAAGAAATAATAAATGTTCAGCATTAGAAAAATCTCTCTTCCAAGTTGCTGCAAGATTAGAAGAGTTTTTGACTTTCAGATTACTTATAATAGTAACTTATCATACTTTTTTCATCCATAGCTGGAGGGATCTACCCTAAATGAAAAATATGATAGCATCATCTTGAATATATTCAATTGCCCGATGAATGTTGATGTTTCTCATATGATTGATAACAAGTCTTAGCCTCTTGCTATCCATCCTTTTACCTTGGTTGTTGCATTCAACTTATCAAAAATGGTCTTATTTTGAAATCTTCTTTAAATATTCTATTGATGGGTAAGAGCATATACTTTCACAAAGACATTTATTACTCTCAATATAACAATATTCCTTTAGTTGATTAGAGTATACTCCTCTGGTTTGAAAAATAATCTATTAAATATGCCGCCACGGCTTGGAAATTTCTCTTTAATGGCCTTAAAATCAAATATATCATTATCATTAAGGTTTCCAACTTGATTCGTGATGTTTTATCTATAATTCTCATGTTGACACTCATTCTAACTTATTTTTTAAATACCATTCTTACTTTCTATTATCCAGGATGTAATTCCTTATGATTTTTATTTTTTTTATAATTATTCTCAAGTGTCGGTTCATAGTGATACCCTTACTTATATGATTTTCAAGAGATTTTTCTTCTTAATCTTCATGTGGTGGTTCACTAAATCTAGCTTGAAAGGGATGGCAAAATTTAATGATGAAATCAATCCTACAAATACTCTTTTGAATAGCATTTGATTTGTCATTAAGTAAAAAAAGTAGAAAGTGAAATATTATTATGGAAAGAATTCCTCCAATCATACAAAATCAATAAATTTTATTATGAATTTTCACTACTTCAAGTTGTTATCCTTTTTTGTATGGATCATCTTGCCCATATTGATGTATTATTTTGGGTTGTATGTTCCTGAATATTTGCTCTTACTATGTTTTGGGCCTTTTGTGGTTGGATTGCAAGATGTTTTATTATATTAAGTTTGATTCACTTGCTTGGTTAAGCTTTTAAACTACACATTAAATTACACATACTACACTTAGTAGCCTCTTAGTGTGGGTTGTTAAAGCTTTTTGGTTGATGTTATCTCCTTTTATGGTACTTTTAATGAGCCATGATGATATCTTTTCTCTTCATTGGGACTCAACCATTTTAGGGACTATATCACATATTTTTCTGGTGTCTCTTGTCCGTTTAGGTGCCTCGACTTTGAATTGGGTGAGTTTTTTTTTTTTTTTTTAATTTGGGAACCCTAATGAATTGCTTATTTCTTCTAACTGGATTACATCATAAGGTGTAGGCAATGAACCTTATTGCGGCTAGAAGTCAGGTTGTTTTATTGTATTATGGTTGGTTCACTTGCTTTATTCAACATTTATATTATATGGATACTGCATTGGTGGCTTCATTGTGTCAGTTATGGCTGATTTTTGAATGCTAGTGTCTCTTTTTTTGTTATTTTTTATGAGCCATGATGATATCCATCTTCTACATTGGGAGACGATCGTTTTAGGAAAATATATCATATGTTTGCTTAGTGTCACTTCTTATGTATGTTGTTTACCTGTTCTTTAAAATCTCTTTAATCCATATGGTTTGGATTTACTTCTTAATGCTCATGTTCTAGATTGCCTTCCCTTCTGTTTATGTTATGTACTATAAGACTATTTTTACCAACTGTTAGTGCTCATGTTGGCAGTTTACTTGGTTGTTTCCAATAGTTAGTGGAGTCTACTTTTTATTTTTGCATTCAAGTGTATTTCATTGGTTACTTTGGTATATACTTAAAACCTAGATGGAGTCCATTTGTCACTCAAACACATGGATTACCAGAGCTCACTTGTGTTTTCCACTATTTTGATGTATTTACTTATAGTCTTTTTTTCTCTTTCTTTTTTCATTTATCATCATTTTACTTAATATAATTTTGGGTGTGGCCCTCAAATTCCTAAGAAAATGTTTTATTACTGAAAGTCATATCAAAGCATCATATAATTGGGTTAATTGAAATATTTTTTTTTCATTTTTTTTTGGATCAGAGTGAATGCTAATCAGTGTGCTATAAGTTTGAGTACTACTTAAAAGACGTTGAATCAATTTATTTGACCTAATGTTGTTGACTTCAAAAATTTAGGCAACTCATATTTAACTAGTTATTAAAAAAAATTAGTTATTAATATGGTAATAGTAAATTTTATCTGGTGGCATCTAATAATTTGCTAAACATTTTTTTACTTCAAATGAGATGCTCATTATTTCAATATTTTGCTAACTATTATTAAATTAATAATAATGTTATTATTTCTATGCAAATTCAGTCATCGACTGGATATAATAATGAAGTTCATCTTGATCATCTGATTCATATCATCGTTTATATCTAGTAATTTTTAACCTAAAGTATAATCATACAGTCTTCCCTGATGATGGCATGCCATAATTATGCTTCATTTGACTTGTCTCTCGTTATAATATCCTCAATCAAAGGACATATCAGACTAGTAGAATTTTATCGTGAGCTATAAATATATTGTTCAAATTCATAACTTTGGAGATTTATTCATCTCTTATATTCAATCAATAGACACGTTGCTGCAGTAGTTGCATTCTATTTAAGGATTTCAGCCTTTTTTGTGGTTTCTCTAGTTATCCTGATTATTGAACATTCTCATAGATGTTCTACGCCTAAATTGGTAAATAAATGATTGAAGTTCTAGTAGTTTATATGAGAAAATCTAGACCATATAGAAAAAAGAAATCTTGCCAAAAGAGAAATTTAGAGATCTTAAGGCAAAAGCAACCTTTTTTCAAGGTAAAAGCTACATATTTTAGAAAATGGGTGCGCGTTGCATATACTTTGAGCACTTATTTACAGCATAATTAGCACAAGCAATATTTCTGAACACAGGAAAGTGAAGAACTGAACAAATTTAATCTTACTTGAGCAAATCAAAAGCACTCTCAACTTCGTCATGCTTCTTTTCACCCGCTAACTACGTATGAATTTCACTGCCAATCTCAACTGTGCTATAGCCTGGCATTTTCCTCAGCCGTCTTTCATTAATCCATCTTTTGACCACTTCAACATTATTCCATCTACCACCAAAAGCATACATATTAGCCATCAGATTATAATATCCAGAATAGGTAGGATCAATCTCAAGTAATCTCTGAGCTACCAAATCCCCCAACTTGAAATCTTCATGTAACTTGCAACCAGAAAGCAATGCACACCAAACATGAGGGTCGGTCTGCATCGGCACCTCTTCAATAAGGTTTAAAGCCTCATGTAATTTGCCGGTTCGAGCAAGCAGATCAACCATAATGCAATAATGTTCTGATTCAGGAGTGACACCATAAGCATCGATCATGCTGCCAAATATTCTTCGACCTTCTTCCACCATACCATTATGACTGCATACAGATAAGACTGAAATAAAGGTAATGCTGTTAGGCTTGATGGAAGATTCAACCATGTATTCAAATGTTTCTATGGCCTTGTAACCAAAACCATTAATACCATAACCTGCAACCATTGAGCTCCAGAGGACCACATCTTTCTCAGAACTACCTTCAAAAACTTTTACAGCATCATCTAAGCTGCCACATTTAGAATACAAGTCCAAAAGTGCAGAAGCCACGTAAACTTTATCACTGAAACCGGATCTAATCAAGTATCCATGCAAGCAATGAGCTTGGCATAAGAATGCCAAATGTGAGCATGCCACAAGCACCTTTACCATTGTCACAGCATCAGGACACAAATCATCAAGCAGCATGGCTTTGAAAAGCTTTAAAGACTCATCAGCAAAGCCATTCTTAGCACAGCCATCAATGGTGGCTGCCCATGTGACAACATCCTTATTAGGCAATCGATAGAACAGATTAATGGCTTCCGTGTAGCACGAACAGTTCATGTACATATATATCAGTGATGTGGCGACTGATTTATCTAATTCAAACCTCAATTGAATGGCAAGCCCATGCAGCTTTCTTCCTTCAGGAAGATCACGAGACAAAGAGCATGCCTGCAGAGCACCAACCATTGTGACAGAATTAGGCTGCAATCCCTTCTCAATCATCCTTTTATAAACCATCGATGCAACAATAGGTTCACCGTTATGAGCATAACAAGATATCATACAGCTCCAGCTGATCACATCCGTCTCCGGCATTGTCTCGAATAACTTTCCTGCAATTTTAATTTCTCCCATCTTTGAATAAAAGCTTAAAAGTGAATTCATGAGAGAGATATCATGAAAAAATCCCATCCTAAGTAAGAATCCGTGACAGCATCTTCCTCGGCGAAGGTCTCCCAGCTGCCCTAATGAAGAAACCACACTTACTAGAGTTACGGGATCAGGAATGGCATGCTTTTCAAGCACCATTCTGGAAAAGAATGCTATCGCCCTTTCAGCATCACCATTCTGCAGGTATCCAGAGATCACGGAAGTCCAAAGTACAACATCTGATTCCCTCAAGCCGTCAAAAACCAGGATAGCATCTTCCATCTTACAGCACTTGGCATACATCTCTACAAGTGCTGCCGCGACGTATACATCGGAATGGTAGAAATCTGTTTTGACGGCGACAGCATGGATGGTCCTGCCATGACGAAGTTCAGAGAGCGCTGCACAGGCCTTGAGGGCAATAGGTAGTGTGAATGCATCCAGGTCAGAGGGCTTGGCAGCCATGCGTCGTAGAAGGCGAAGTGTTTCAACCCATTGCTGCGCTCGGCAGTGGGAACGAAGCATGGCATTCCAAAGGAAAGAGTTTCTGTGGAAGATTTCATCGAATAGCTTGCGAGCAACGAAAGAAGAAGTGAATTCGCCATAGGAGGAGACCAAGCGAGTGGCAAAGAAGCAATCAGCGGCCGAGAGAAAACCACTGCGGAGGGGATTAAAGAGTGTAACTGTGTGATGGATTTTGCGTTGGTGCTGGCTTCTAACAATTGGGAGATGAGCTCTCTTCCACTACTCATTACATCCCATTGCACCTTAATAGCGATATATTCTGCACATTAACCTCAAAAGAAATTAATTCCAGGCCAAATACTGCTGTATAGAAAAAACTTACGTATATACCACCCAAAACTGATAAAATTTCATATTTAACATCTCCAACATAAATTTTACTTAAATAATACCCAAAACTTTCTAACATCTCTGCCACTTTGTTAGCACCATGATCTTTGTCAAAACAAACTCATCGTCACCAGGCCCCTGAGGGTTTGTTTGGGGCAGCTGCGCAGAAGCTACTGATAAAGTCAAAACAAACTCATCGTCACCAGGCCCCTGAGGGCTTGTTTGGGGCAGCTGCGCAGAAGCTACTGCTGATAAGCACTTTGTTAGCACCATGATCTTTGTCAAAACAAACTCATCGTCACCAGGCCCCTGAGGGTTTGTTTGGGGCAGCTGCGCAGAAGCTACTGATAAACTAGCTGTTTGTTTATTTTTTATAGTTTCAAAACAGTTGTGCTGCATCTGTTTCTGAACAAATAATCATTTTGTTCATGTATATTAATTTTGTTTGCAACAGAACTGTCATAACAATATATATTATACTTTAGATAAAAAAAAGACTATTAAAATAATATTTAATAATATAATAATATTATTTTTAAAATGGAGACGACGTATGCCAAGAGCCAGACCGTTCTCTAGGGATACTATCTATTCCCGATCACTCCCGGCGGCGCAATCGACCGACCTATCTACCCAGTGGAAGAAGTCAAAATTCTCTACGAGTCTCCGCAGACAAAGGTTCGCAGACTAAACGGATGTCACAAATCTCTTAGTTTGCAGGATTGGGTCTATCGCCGAGGTCTACACTTATCTTTCGGGAGGGTGTAGTATTCGCGGTATCAGACACGATTATGCAAACTATTGGACGAATGAGATCCACTTGGCCTCATTTTTCAAAAATTAAAACATACTACTTTTAAAACTCAAACTATATATCTTTTATATTTAAATTAAATCTCAAAAATTATTTTCATATTCAAATCCAAATCAATCAATCGAAAAAAAAAGTTGACCGACAGTCATATATGCATATCACCAAAAAATATCATCTAGAAGAACCAGAAAAATCGTAGCATCGAAAATAAAAGGGAAACTTGGTCTCCTTCTGTAAGATTTCACATGTGACACCAATCAAAATCGACAATCAGACCATCAAGAAGAACTTAGAAGATGTAACATCTCATCATGAGCCTCTCAAACTCACAATAAAAAGAAATGAAACAAGAAAAAAATATTTACAAACATCGTAGAAAACTCAATTATAATCAAATGTACAAGAAACAAAAATAAACATGAACTGTATAAAATAAATAAGTTAAAATTGATAAAAGAGCTATATAATTTCAGTTTTGTGTATATGCGAAGTCTTAAAGAACTCATTATACCAACCAACAAATTTGTCACTACAAGAAGACAAGAGACTTTGTAAAAAAAAGTGTTTTTGATTGCTTTTAACCCACGTAATACCAAGCTCGTGTGTGTCACATATGTATATCACCAAAAAAGGTTATCTAGATGAACCTGAAAAGCTGCTGCATCGAAAAGAAGAGAGGAACTTAGTTATCTTCAATATGATTTCACACGTGACTCCAATTAATGCCAACGATCAAGCCATCTAGAAGAACCCGTAAGGTCTAACTTCTCATCATAGGCATCTCAAACTCATCAAAAGAAAAATAAAAGAAAGAAAAAAATAATACTTACAAACATCTTAAACAACCCAACAATTAATGTTATATATGCAAGGAACGAAATTAATCATGAACTGTATAAAATAAATAAGAATCAGTCAATTTAGCATCCAACAATGATGTATGTGATCCGCTTTCTCAATTCAACAATTTCCCCAGCACCTTCGCCATTCTGGGTGCAACCTTCTTGTGATTCTCCTTATGCCCGTGGTATAGATTGTTCTTTTTGATATTTAAATACTTCAGACGAGACATGTAAATTATCATTGTCAGTCATGTTGAAGCCTACGTCAGTTCTCGAATGATGTCGTTAAATATAGTTATGAAGAGATATTTTGGCCACTTTAATCTGCATCTGTTTCGAAAATAGATGTCATCATATAGTATGACCCATTTTTTTTTTCCACACCCAAAATGTTCTTTTAATTACACCGTGTAAGAACGAGTATTTTTTGTTAAATATTTCTTTCCTGCCCCGAGCAACATTGCTGGATCTTTTAAAGTCGGAAATGTAATATTTGATATCCAAAAATAATTTCAGATACCTCTTTTGTAAGAAATATCCAGCGTCGACCAGGTAATATTTGTATGTCGCAAATACAATAATTAATAATGAACTTACAAAATATATAATAATATGATTGATTAATAGTTGAACAAATCTGGGGTGGGTGAGGGAAGTTGTGCTTTCAATTTCTTGTGACGAAAGCGAATATACTTCTGTCTCGTGCATTGTCTTCCCAATCGGCCATAATAAAAATAAATCACATGTTAACATTACATGCCACCATCACATTTTGTGTTGGTGATTCACACCGCCCAATGAATGTCCCCTTCATTCTTGGATAAATATGCATCCACGTTTGTTCTATCGATCACTCCAATACAATTCTGACAAATTAAACAAGATTGTGTAAATTACACGACTCATTTTGACTTCTGAAAATAATGAGTAAAAATATTTACCAAAAAAATGACATATACTGCGGGTCGGGTCATTTGCAATATTTATTGGAGTCATCTCAAATGTTGGATCCTATGACTTATAATATTTACCGACAAACTAACAAGAGACTTCAACCCTACTGAAAAGTATTTGATGATTCTTTGATGAATGTTGAAATCACTCCATCGCTTCTGTCATCGATTCATTCTATGATAAAATGTAGAGGGTTGTTGCTAATATCTCTCTGGTTGTCATTCTAGAGGAGCCATGAAGTGAATATGTTCACACAGTTCAGGAAGATAAAATAATGAAAAGAAAGTTGTGTGAATATGTTCTTACCCTTCCAATTTCTCACCCCACTATTCATTCGAAGCGTCAATGGTGCATTTGATTGGATCACATCCCCAACATGTGGATCGTCATTTTAATTTCTTTCATAATTTTTAGTTCCTTGTCAACTGATCTCACTTGTTTTTCAGTTGCATCTTATTGTACTTCATTCCCGTCATTTCTTTGAACTTATTCATAAAATTTGTCACTTTTTCTTATTAAAATAGGTGACAGGTCTATTTCTCAGTTCAACTTCCTTAAGATAGATATGAAATATGAGTTTAACTTCTTTATCCCACATACCTGATGAACTGATTTCTTTAGCCTTAATCATCACGTTACTAGCCCAGAAAAAATGAAACATAAATATTGCATTACTAGCTTAGAAGAATACTTGCCACATCTCCACACACAACCATAGCCAACACAAAACCAACACAATCACACAACCACAAATCACAACCCCAAACACAATCACAACCTCCACACTACGGCATCCATACACAACTATAGCCACCACACAACCACACCTACCTCCACACAAAACCACAGTCTTCACACACAACCACAACCACCATAACCTCCTCCACGCAGAATCACAACGTCCACACACAACCACAGCTTCCACAACCACCACACACAATCACACAACTACAACCACGACCACCACAATTATCTATACACAGAGACACACCTCCACACCTCCACACACAACCACAACCCATACAGAACCAACACAACCACACAACCAAAACCGACAATCACATCCACAACAGCAACCTCCACCACATCCACAGCCGCAACCTCCACCACATCCACAACCGCAACCTCCACCGCATTCACAACCGCAACCTCCACACACAACCACAACCTCCATAATCACCTCCACACACAACCCGACCCCCACACACAACCGAAACCTCCACACACAACCACATCCACCACAACCATCTCCACATAGAACCATAATCTCCACACATGATCACAACCCCCAAAATCATAGCCTACACACAGTCATACTTGTGTCGATCCTGATGTTTTAACTCACATTACTCGTTGGGATCAACCTAGCAAATAATGCTTGTTAAAGCATTGTGAACCACACAAATTCACTCACCTACTGAGTTTGACTTAATATTGAGACATGCAGAAAAATGCAAATGCAAGCAAGTATGATTCACGATTCAACATCATGTTTACTCAAACAATGTACAAGCAAACACAACGAGATAAAGCCAAGCAAACATCTGAAGGTTACGGCTCAAATGCAAACATGTCGCACACTCAATGGGTTTAGAACCTCTGAGACTTGAGAGACATATTTAGAGTGCTAACTGCCAAAACTTGTGACATTAGAGTGTGATGCCACAATAGGTGAAGGGTATGACCTCTGTATAGTTAGTTCACACATCGAAAAACTAGAAGCGCTAGCTACCAATCACCGAAAAAAATAAATGTATCAGGCTACACACATATGACAACATATGTGTGCAATGATACCACGAGTGTCGGTGCTCAAAGAGACATAAATGAGACAAGTGAACAATATAAAAGAACATGTAAATGAGTCCATCAAAATGCACATCACAATAAATTATATCACACATATATGAATGTAAGCAAATAATGCAAAATCATGCAAATGATACAAATACACATGCAAATCACACCTCATGGGAGTGGAGTTGGCAATTTGACACATTCGGTCAAACAGGGTGGTTACCCAAGTGTCATGGCCAACGCAAGTCAGTTAGACTAGGGCAACTAACTAGACTAAAGTGGTTAGTTGACTAGGTCGGGATGCTGACAGCGACTTTTTTATATACCTAAAAATATAAGAATGTGACACCATTACTAGAAGATTTAAATCCCCGGCAACGACGCCAAAAACTTGATGCGAATTTTAATATGCAAGAATTTATGAACCCAGATTTATATATTTATAATGATTTTGTAAAGTCACAATTTCAAATGCAAGTATACGTATCGCTCAAGTAAGGCAGGGCTCTAGTGGAGTCCCGTTTATCAATCCCACAAGGAAGCGAGGTAAGAGGACCTCAGTCAAATTCTAATATACTACTATTAGTCCTTAATTTAGAAGTATGATTGAAGAGGTTTTACTAACAGATACTCCTAAAT